ATAGTATATATATATATATTGTTTTGTTTGATTAATTTGGGTGAACGACAGGAATAGAACATGAACCAACCGGCTGTCATAAGAAACACGTCAACAGAGCAAGTGAAATATGGTCGTAGTGCTTCTATTTGCTAGATGATGACTATATACTGTCTATATATAGATATCCCCAAAGGCTCGGCCACCTCTGATGAATAAGATCTCATGATCGCCCCGACGATGTCAATGGTAAAACCCCTTCAACGCTGGTCTTTTTAGAAGATTTTTGGATGCTTCCTGCTAACAGTTCCTTTTGTGTTTATAGCAGATGAGTTCCTTCCCCCCACCCAATCACGGTCCCCAAAAAGTGATGATATTATATATACAATTTGTTTGCCAATCGACTGCTGCTGGGTGGGGGATTCGGAAACACGCTAAGTTCCAGCAGTTGTTGCTGGATGAGAACTACCTAGGACCTAGATGGTGTAGCCAGGTGTCCTGAGATGTAAGATCTCGTTGCATACCTTGTCCTCTTCCAACAGGGCATTCCAGACTTGTTGCCAAAAGAATCACAGCACAGCAACTCCCCTCATGTTGATGGAAGACCCTCAGGAGCGCCGATGCCCTTCCGGCACGAAAGCTCTTTCCTCCGGTGTACCAGGCGTCTCGACCGGTCAGTGGCATCGACCGACAAGTGTGACGAGTCCTGGATACAGAAGAAAAGTCCGAGCACGAGCCCGGGAGTCAATCCGTTGACACATCCATACCTGCATATACCTCCATACACCTCTCCTCCATACCTCGATGTTCCTTTTTGTTGATTGAATTTTGATAAGACTGTGCTTTGCTGAGATGTTTTGCTCCTGATTTCTGGAATTTGCCATGGGGATGACCATTAGGGCAAAGGGGGTGACCCGGATCATGTATGTCTTTGCGCTACCAGAGGGGGGGTCTCCAAAATCTTGGTTGATCTCGTTAACGTCCTTTTTGTCTCCCCCACGACCCCTCCAAGCAAGACAGATATCCTAAGATTGGGATCAAACATGATCAAAACATATCAAAACAGTGGTCAGAGTCAGAGTATTGTTGTTTCCAGGGGATTACTTCTGTGGAAGACATGTCTTTCAGTAGCCTTCAGCGAGTCGCTCAACCTGCTGTTCACTCATGCATGACTGGCTGAGCAGGGTGCTCAGTTTGTCGACGACAACGGCATTTAAGAAAACTCGATCAAAACTGACAACTACCCAGCACCCACAAGGCAAAGACAGGCCCGACAGATTCATGCAGATTTGAGCAACTCGAAATTGAACATAATTGAAGGAGAAGAAGGAGTTAAGTTAAGTCTCCTAAAAGTCTACGGAAAAAAATCAATAGTGCGAGCGCTTCTTCAAGGAAGCTCCCCCCGCCCTCATGCATCCTAGGTAGTAGCTACTTAAGCTACAAGCTTCTCCCTTACTTCATCAAGTAGGTGCCTACTGTCTACTTATATAATTAAGTAGGGGGGGAGCAGGTTATAAAAAGGAAAAGAGTTCCTTTGAAGTGGATCTATGCAACACATGGTCAGCGTCCATCGGTGTACCCTCCAGGCCGCGGCTTTGGCCGGATCCGTTGACCGGATTGCCTTGTCGAGATCCAGAGGAAGAGAGTTGCAACATTGGATGAAATGGGAGGATGCTCCAAACGAAGGGCACTAGTGACTGGGAGGGTCGGTGACAGGTAGATTTAGCCGTCCGGCGGTTTCTCTAGAGATTAGCGCAAGGGCGAGGTATATGACCCAGGTTTACAAGACATGGAGAAGCTTTGCGTATTCAAGTAGCCGCTCAGATAAGCCATCAACAACCATTGGGCAGGACACCCCGCCGCTAAACTCACTCACGTTGGTCCAGCCGGTTAGTTTCCGGTGACGGCTTTGACCCCCTGGGCCCCTTTGACGAGGCCCAAAAGCCTGAGACTTGATGAGACTTGCTGAATGGGTGAAAATCAGACCTGCGTGGGTGGCTGTCGAAAGACTCGTGATGATTCATGACTCCAGTCAATTGACCCTCCGAACGATGCACATGGAAACTCGTGAACATCCTCACCTGTCACTGCTGGGACACCAAAAGTGCGTTTGGCCATGAAAATCTCAGGACGTTCGGTCATGAGAGTCATGAGTCATTGCTTAGGGGTGCAGTGCAAAAACTTGGAAGGCCTATGTTCACCTCATTGGTTGAACCCCATGGGTTGAACCCTTTGAAGCTGCAAAACCGGTGCTTCCCCCCTTTGGGCCCGCCGCTGCTTCCGCTGCTTCAGCACCGAGGCAACGAGGTTCATGCCACCTGTGCCCACGTACCCAAGGTGCGGAACGTCGGGGCAGCCCGCCTCCAAGGCTAAGGAAGAAGTGGACTCCAGACAGTTTGATAGCGCCTGTTTGATGGTAGCAGCTTTGACTTGTGATTGTGATGGTAGCAGCGTGTACTCGGTTTTTTGGAGTGCTTTTCGATGAAAGAACGATAAAGACAAGACTCCCTCTTGGAAGTACTAAGTAGTAAGCAGTCAGCAATGCGTGGCATTGTGGACCTCATAAACTGGGACTTGAAGCCTGCAAGCATTTCGAGAAATGGCATGTGAGGAAGTTTCTTCAGAACATGTGGCTACAACCCCACCGCAACCGAGGCTGGACAAGGACCCTTTGAACCATGTTCACATGTCTTTATATATTATGCCTTCATTCTTTTCCTGCTGTTCACAGGTCATGTTTGTTCCTTTTATACAATGAGACGCTATTTGGACTGTTGAGCATTGAATGGCTACGGTGCACCAAGCAACTCACCAGCATATGTTCACCAGACGACCGACCAGAAAACATCAAAATAGCTGTCCATTCCTGTGCGAAACAGCTTGGAATGTCCGGTATGCGTGAACCGACGCCTCGACTGGCTTCAGTAATTCACGTCTCAGACGGTTCAACAACAAGAACATCCTGGCTCGTCTCACACCTGCGGGCACCACCCCAACTCCCGCGTCCGAGAACGGATCTGGGCCGGACCGCCTGCGCCCCAGGTGGGTTGGACGCCGGACGTGAAGGATCCCTTGTCCTTCGTGGAACCGAAGGGTCGGGAGAGCCGCTCCGATGTCGATCCCCGAGTCCAAAGAGTCCAGAGGTTGGCCAGGCTGAAGGTCCAGAATGACATGCGAAACACAGAATCGTGTGAATTCGATATACTGGCCCGGCGTCCTTGATCAAAACAGTGGAAAAGGCGCAGCACAGATCATCATAGAATCCACAGACCAGTCGTCCTCGGCAAGTGGTGTTTCGTCAAGTCGTGTTGTCCACTTTTAATTTATTAATGCATAGGGGATGGAATTTCAGCACTACCCCAGGGTACCCACTTAATTCCAACCCCGATATTCATGCGAAATCAACATCCAAAAGCCCCGGGAGAAATGGCCACGCCCTCGACCCACCGAGTCAGCCTCCGTCGTTTTTCTCGCTTCGAGCTCGTCGTAGGTGCTTGTGAACTTCCAGTGGAAAGGCGCGGCGCGGTCAACGCACCGCAGTGCACCGCGGCCGGCCGGCTCGGTTGGACGTGTTCGTTGTGCGTTGTTTGTTGGAGTCGGTGGAGAGGGACCCGTTTTTTGAGCTAAAACTGGAAATATACACTAGTATAATTTATAGCTATAGTGGCCAAGTTGACATAGACATTTGATGTTTTGAATGGGATCTTCTTTTCTTCAATGTTCTTCCTGTATCACTTTGGCCACATTTTGAGAGACTGAAGGTGTTGGCAGTTGATTCAAAGAAAGGGAAGCAGATGCAAACTATGAATTCAACCACCCATCGACCACCGACACCTGCAGCCTCCTGACTGTGCCCCAATTACCCACCATCCACAGACTATCATCCTGGAGGGGAATTCTCCGTTGCCAATCACCATCGGAAGAGTTCCTGCAAACCACGTGAACCTGGTTGAAGATTTGCCACACATCGCACAATTGTTGCTCATCCAGGGACCAGGTATACGAGGTGTGATTTCCTTCCTTCCCAGTGGCTTGTTGGGGCAGGCCCCCACCAAGCAGTCCTGGTGGAGCTTTAGGGACACTCAACAAGGCAGGTGTGGGTGCGTGGAGGTGGGGGGTCGATGGAAGCCGAACTGAGACAGGGAAAAGCCCAGCTGCCCCGAGCGGTCGATGGTCCAATTGAGTCTCACTGCAGAAAGCAATCCATGTGGATGCCCACTACAAGGCTCTCAAGGATGACATGTTGATAGACCATCTATACAGTCTACATATAGTTACAGTAATTAAGTAACCCTTGTTGCTAGTAGCTTCCAGCCAGTAGTAGTAATGCCCTTGTTAGTAGCGATGCCCTTGTTACGAACGTAGCTTCTATGCTTATATAGATGGGCTCCAACTCCGTCCGTTTCGGTGCTTGGATGACGCCGGTCTGGTCCGCGATGGTGATCCGTGTCCATCGCCGATCGGTGGACAGTGGAAGCGATGGAACGATGCACGATGTTCAGATAGACGAATGCTACAAGAAGATTCTCTCATGCAGATAATAGGCCCTGTCTGGATCAAACATGAAGGAGACTCGATGGCCGTAAAGCAAGTTGTTGTGTAACTAGTTGCCATCGTTGCTCGATTTATTCATTCATTTGCTGAATGGATATAGCAGCAGTTCTTGGAGTAGATGTCCCTGTGCAGTTGCAAGATGCAGCAAATGCTGTGGGAAACGCTGCCAGCATGGCACAAAGTTTGTCGGCTCCTGAGACTGCTCTCAAACGGCCGTTCGGTGGTTCATCCCAGAATCCTTTGGCTTGATTTGAGCAGTTTACTGTTGCTGTCAGGTTGATTTGATGGAACAACATCGAAACCAAAACACTTTGCTTCAACGTACTTGGATCGACGCAAAATGACACGAAGGTACTGAAGGTACTCAACGTCCTAATTCGAGGTGGCCATCTCCCGAACAAATGCATCAGTTGTGTGTTTAAGTCTGTGATTTCTGGTGCGGTCATGTCTTCAGACCGAGGGCCAGCGGTGGCGCGCAGAATTCGGACTGTGTGAAGACTCAGGAATCAATGAACGTAATGACTGCCGGGTGGAATTGTTCAATGAATTTTGGAGGCCATCGTTATGAGGTTGGAGGCCATTCCTAGTATAGGTTAAGACTTCTTCAAATGAACACTAGCGTTCAGGAAGGTTGATCCCCCCAAAGGCTAGATCTGCTATGAATTCGGAGCGTTGTGCAGGTGAGGGGATTGAGCATTCCACTTCAAGGCATGTGGTTCTTTCTGCCTTCGGCTTGGGGAAGGGTGATCCAGGATTGGGAAGGCCCAGAGGGTTCACCCGCCCAGCAGAGTTTTTGGGTCTACCGTCTACCCGGGGGGCGCATGCAGGTTCAAACCGATCAGCACATCGGTAGTACCGGTGACGTTTGGTAAATGCAAGTGCCTCCTGAAGAGCGAAGATACAAACTGATATACAGTAAACAAGTGCCTTACTAGTAGTAACAAGAAGCTAGTAGTAACAAGTGCCTTACTAGTAGTAACACGAATTATATGAATAACACCAGGTATTTCCTTACACCCTACCAATTTCTAGGTGTTGTTTTCGTAGGGTATATACCATCGTATACCTGTCTCTTCCATACCTTTTCTGGTTTTCTCTTCTCTTCACCGATCAATGAGTGAGGCAATGCACGGATGATCGATATGCCCTATGGCCTGACGAACCCGGAAGCTGCTGAGAAGAACGACCTGGGAGCGGCTGGGGCCACCTTGGCCCCTCGACGGATGAATCTCCGTACAGCGCCCATCCGAAAGCACACTTACACTTACGTACTATTTGAAACATGGTAACAAATATTGCCCAACATATATAGAGTTACCAAAGTCAAACTGATGCATTTAATTTGCTTAACTATGTTCTATCATTATAGGCAGGGAAATCATGAATTAACATATTATCATATTGGTTGACCAAGTTCAAGTTGACTAGCCAATTGCTAGCTACCCCGGGTCAGATCTTCCATGTCCTTCCGCCAAACAATCTTGCAAAGGGCAATTTAAGTTCGTCTTTGCTTTTTGTGGTCGAAAGCATGCCCGCGATGGGCTCAAACATGTCCAACCTCTTAGCATGCTTAGGAGAGCCCAGAGACCTTGAGGAGTCCACTCAATAGAGTCTTTCCGGATTTTGGGCCAGCGTCGCCTCTCAAGTAGAGAGCAGTGAGCAGTTTGTTCGATTCGGCTTTCCATTTGAGGCGATGGTGGGTGGAAAGACGCAGATGAAGGCTGGCCTAATCTGGCCTGATCTGTCTGGTGAATCCAACTCGGTGGGTGGGGTCCCGGGGGTCCGGGTGGAGCCCGCGACGAGATGGCCTCCAACCGCCCCAAGCGATGGAAGAGGTTGCGAAATCGCATGTATACAAGAGGTGAAGGCTCTTGAAGTGCCCCACTTGTTTAGATAGTTAACACGTGTCAACACTATCAAACTGCCGAATGACTCAGCTGTGCTGCGCACCTAGCTGTGCACCAGACTCATTTCATCCACATGAAGTGCCCACATCTTCGCGTCCGAACCCACTCACCGCGGAGGCCAAGTTACCGGTCACCGTGTGGGGCCAGGCGCGGCTCGCTCGCCGCGAGCGCTCCATTTCAGCGAATCCTGGTGGAGCAGTGGACCGAGAATGAACTGAATAGACTACTACCGAGGTCAACCCTACAAGATCTACAAGTATGACTACTACAAGTATGAACTGAACTGAATAGACTACTGTATGACTCCAAACTCCGGGTGCACGGCCGGAGACCGACCACCGGATTCGGGAAATAGACCAGTATAGACCATAGTAGACTCGACCAGTCGACCCAGCCAGGGGCGAGAGTTCGGGGGGTTCCCTATTTTCTTACACGGACCTATGTGAGTTATGTGAGCAACCCCCCCCACTTTTATTTAGGCTTTAAAGGAGTCTACTGCATGCTATATTTGCTTGTCTATCATCAGTATTCGCTTGTGAGCGAGATAGGGCCCCCAAACGAGATACTTTTGCTTGATGACACTAAAGTAGTCTGAACGAGACAGTGTGATCTGCTACTAAAGTAGTCGGAACGAGATACTGTGACATGACCTCCTACTTAAGTACCTCCTACTGAAGTAAACGAGATAGGGCCCCCCACATAATAGATATAGTGTATTTGAGTTTATAGGACCAAATAAATGCCGCCGCACATGTGTGTAAAAAAGCCACACGGGTGTTGGTTGACGTGCGATTCTATGTCGTAAAGACACTTAGGACCAGCAATCGACTTCTGTTTGGACAAAATTTGTTTGACATGCCATGTATTGATTATAAAGCAAGTTCCTTAAGACTGGGGTGAGCAGAGGTACATTTCAAGGGCATCTTACACTTTCTCACCTCCAGGCTGTGCATGGCATGTCCGGGACTTGGGCCTTCGACAGTGGTGGCTTGCATTCCACCGACTATGTCTACAAGGCCAAGTCGGTTGCCCTTTTTGATGGAGAGGGTAGGTCATAGTTGAAGCAGAAGTTCGGAAGTATTTGTACGCATCCAAGGCAGTTAGAGGCACTTAGTCCTGTGGTGGGACATATCATATCAATATAATTCAATATACATTTGGTGAATTTACATAGGTGAAGTTTCTCATGAAGCCATCCATCCCGGTCAATCCTGCTTGCACATCCGACTTCCAATTTTGACTTCGTGTCGCTACACTTCTTCCTTTCGGGAAAAAGGAAACGGCGCTGGTCTTCGGCTGTATAGGTCGAACAGCAAAATGGTGCACCAGATGACTACTACATTTGTGACTGATCTGCATTGGGAACATCGAACAAGCGTCCGAAACGACGCTTGGGAACCGATGTCAACACGAGTTGAGTTTCCAAAGGTCACTGCATGAATCAGAACAGTTCACCGCACACATATAGTATACCCATTGCCCATGGCCATCTTTACACCCTCAAGATGGCGATGATGCGCGATCCGCGGTCTCCGTACGTCCATCACATCCCCCCTGCGAGATGCTCATGCAGTCGAGAGAACTGAGGCAGTGGAACTTGATGTGTGTTGTTGCATTGCCATCGTCATCTTTCACGATCAGTATAACTTGGTCGTTTCGACATGTTGCGACATGTTTGAATAATCCATACAGAGCGATGTCCGCCCCAGGTGATAGTCGGCGCCGGCCGCAGCATTGCGCTTTGCTTGGAGGGAACCTCAAGCAAGCATGCGGCTCGACTTTCATTTAATCCACCATAACCCACCCGTATAGAGTCACACTTTGTCACACCATGTCACACCCTCTAGTATCCCATCAGAGGAAGACCTCTATAACCCTTCAGAGGGTGTTTTTTGCCTTTCCCCACCCAAAGCCTTCAGGTGGTAAGTTCGCCGACCCTTTCTTTTCGGAGCCGCCGCGGCGCGCGTTTGTCGGGGGATGACCTCATAAGGAAAAAGCAAGGTCAGGGCTCCGTGAAGGGTTCAAAGCATAACTCGGTTTCAACAAAGCCTGACCTGGAAATCATGTAGACTCTTGATGAATATAAAACATCATAAAACAACATTTCATGTATTTGATTGAGCAACCTCTCTTCCTCTGGTGTTCTTTTTCATTTAATCAACCGTCTACATGAAGCTGAGAGTGTGGACTTGCACAGGATAGGGTTGAAGCCTGTAATTAAGAAAGTGGTCTGCGATTAAGCCTTTTTTTAATGCTACATCTGACTGATCATCTCCCAAAATTGAGGAACCTGGTTTTTGAAAGACAATTAGAAGAGACCGTTGGAAAAAGGAAATCCAGGGGACGTCCCACGCGCAAAAACCTTATTTCGCGGCCTCACAGGTTGTTTTCAGGCAAGGTTTTTACCCTGCTCCAATCCACAACTTCACACATGGGCCTTGGGACACCCAAACAGTTGTTTGTGCTCTTGAACTATTAGTTCAGGTTTGTACTGAAAAGGTGGTTTTTGCACAGATAGATATATGTATATTACACATCTCCATCATTTCACTGTCCCAATCCTGGCCTGCATGTGAATGCAACCCCTGAAAAAAGGACTCTGTCACTTCTTTGCCTTTTTGGCAAATGCGGCGGTGATTGAGCCGCTCTGAGACCTCTTGGAGGTACTCACTTTGGCCTTGGGCTTTGCTTTCGCCTTGGTTTTGGCCTTCGCTTTCCCCTCAGCTTTGGTTCGTGCCCTCTTTTGCAATGGCTCAGGCACCTCTGATGAGCTGCTGCTGCTGTCACTTGAGCTGCTCTCCTCATCCTCCTGAAGTCAGGATAAAATGTTAAAAAATGTGAAGTTGATGATTCCATGGATGAGGCTTCTAGTTACTACTAACGATGGAGTTATTGCAAGAACACATTTTACCTCAAGTAAGAATGTTTGTGTACTAGGGGGTCTTGCAGGCCCATTGATAATCTGAAGATATAGAAGACCATAGGGGGTCTCATACTCGGAACCACTTCTTGTTGTTCTTTGCATCGCGGACCTCTAACATCACCTCTACTTTGTTTACATTGGTTTTCACTCTGGACCCTCACCACAGACCGTAGTTCAACTGGTTCAATGGCTTACCACCACACTTCTCCGTCCACCCACCCATCACATCTCCTGTCAAAACATCATCGCCCATCTGTTTGACTGTATACGTATCTCTATATACTATATAATACACATTAATTTTCTTCAGCAACATCAAAGAAACACACACAATATGACTCGCAACTTGCTATGCAACATGTCCACATGGCCAATGAGAACCGGACAAAAAAACATTCATATATTGACCCGCTTGCAACTTGCAAGTTGATGAACAATCAAAAGTGTTTCCAAGAAACGGTGTCACAGTGTGACACTCTTGTGGGACACTCTTGTGGGGCACTCTTAGGGGAAACTCTTGTGGAACACTCGTGTAGGACACTCTTGCGGGACACTCTTGTTGGTGGCCTTCCGTACTTACTTGGGGGGAGGTCGCATGTCCCATCAGGCGCGTTAGCCCATTTGCCCTGATGTCATACATTGCCCTCCCGCAATGAGTTGGCCCCAAGACACCTATGTATTGCACACAGGGCGACCTTTATCCCCCAAGTTCCCCACTCCCGGCCAACGGAGTGACTCACCTGTGAGCTCCAACTAGGAGCCCCAGGAGGGCAGGTGAGTTCGGTAGGGACGACGGACTCTTGTGGGACACTCTTTTAGGACACTTTTGTGTGTGCTGAGCTGCTGTGCTCATTGAAATGTGATATCACCGTCACCATTGCACCATTACCATCGGATCTTCTCATGACATACATCTGGTGTCACATCGTTTGCACATGTGACACAGGCATCAGGAAATGGTGTTTTCAATCATTTATCATTTAGAGTTTAGAGGTTTTAGAAAAGTACAATATAAATTTAAGATATTAAATTAATAAAATATATATATATATTATTATGTATATATATTCCTTGTCCTGATGGGCCCAACACCTGTTTTTTTGTGCACATCGATGACATCGATCATCGATCATTGATCATCTACTTACTACTTTGTTCTCTGTTCCATCGTTTCACCAACCCACTTGTTTGGTCCTTGGACATAGTTTTAGCCACTGCCGCTGCCATGGCAGCATCAAGGGTGTCCTGCTCTCTAGAAAAAGGACAATGTCACAATGTCCGACAGTCAAACAAACAATCTTGAAAAATCTTGGATTGTGCAAGTGCAACCATTCATCAGATAACAAAAGGCTGAGGCTGTTTTGCATTTTGCAGGGCTTGGTATGAAGAGACCACACAATTAGTCTAGGGCCGGCCTACCGGTCCAAAGTCTTTTCCCCCCACCTCCTTCTCATCAGCTGGCTTCTCAGTAGCTGCCTTCTCACCAGCTGCCTGGCTTGCTGCTTCATGAGATTGCTCCGGCTCCTGCATGAGTGCACATGGTTGCACAGCACAGGTTTGGTTTCTGCAGCCGTTCAGAGTATCATCGGTTAACAAAAAATATACAATCAAGGCTGTTTGCCTTGGTAAGGTATTGAGAGACCACATATTTAGCCTAGGGCCGGCCTACGGGTCCAAAGTTTTTCCCACCACAGCTCCTCAACATCTGCCTTCTCACCAGCTGTTTTGGCACCAGCTGCTGCGTCAGATTGCTCCGGCTCCTGCCAAGCGTGCTTGCACAAGTTTGGATTCTGCAGCCATTCACCGTTCACCGGATAACAAACAATCAAGGCCACAGATACTGTAAGAGTCTACATCGTCTAGGAACTAGGCTAGGGCCAGGTCTAAAGTCTTTTCCCACCACAGTTCCTTCTGATCATCTGCCTTCTCACCAGCTGCCGGGGTTGCTGTCTCATGAGATTGCTCTGGCTCCTGCGTGAGTCAAACGTGGCTGCACAAGTTTGGATTGGCTGCAACTTGAACCGTTCATTGGTTAACAAACCAAAAATGC